TTTTTTTTTTTTTTTTTCTGGGCCAGCTTTAGCTCTGAGGCCTCGCTGCTGAAAACATCGATACAATGTTGCGGTCCGAGCCCGGCTGAATGGAAGCCCTTTTCTGGGGTTTTGTTTAGCTTCTTATTTGCAACATAGTATATAGTTGCTTAGAGTTGCAACTGAGAGGCGGGCAACTGAGGCGGGGAACGTTGGAGTCTGCAGCAAGCAAGCCTCGTGCTCGCTTCAGTGCCTGGCTGCCGGCTGCCATCTTGGCTGACAGTTAATTTGCATATACTCACTGATTAGCCAATGAAAAGGGTAGCGGTCGTACGCTAATTACCATGTTTCTCTTTTATTAGTGTAGACTATACAAATGTCTGCATTCCATCTAAGAAAGTATTTGTGATGACTATTGGTTTCCCCACAGATTGACAAATGATTTTTGAGATTCAGTCTTAATAGAAATGTAGGTCTGAAAACTCAATTGGAGTTCAAGCAGTCCCTCAGACCAATATCCTGCTCTCAAGTAAACACAGTATTATTAATATCCACTGTACTGGTGAGCTTATTGAGACCAAACAGGTTGTGACTTACATAAGGTGACAGAACTAGTAAATGACAGAGGGGATAAATAGACAGGTCTCTTGATCCCTAATTAATACTTTCTACTGTACCTTCCACACCTCAATTCCATTTCCATTTTTTTAGAATGTGAACTTTGCAAAGGTGGAAGGCCTGAAAATATTCAGGCAAATAAGCATGGGAGGCTTTAGGCTTCTCTTTTAGGATCCAGGGTGGAGGTAAGTCAGGGGTATTAGGCCTCCTTCCTCCTCAACGTTCACAGAGTTCCTCCTACTGACATATCACCATAACTAGCTATTGCTTATAAACCTGACCACCCTATTATGTTTCATTCCCGGGGATTAATAAACAACATACATACACAAAAGTATCCATGAGCCGCCATGGTGGCTCTGAGGGAGTCCAGTTCAAGCTTTCATGACAAATGCTCCCCTCTTCTCCTGATGTGCAGAGCTGCCTCAACACTCCCAGGGGTCTTTGATTGATGTTTCCCTTTTTACTCTCCAGGCAGCAGATGCTGAGCTTTCCTCACCTCCTGCAAACAGTGCTGCATATCATCCAGGTGGTCATCAGCTACTTCCTCATGCTCATCTTCATGACCTACAATGGGTACCTCTGCATTGCTGTAGCAGCAGGGGCCGGCACAGGATACTTTCTCTTCAGCTGGAAGAAGGCAGTGGTAGTGGACATCACAGAGCATTGCCATTAACGTCAAACTCCATGGTGCGGCCTTATCGATTGCAGTGGGAAGCAGTTCAAGACTGGAAGACATTATTCCTACTCGAATCTTCCCTTCTTGCTCCTTAACTCCTTACACACACCTTCTCAATAGAGGTTTAGCTTACAGTCTCTGAGCTAACGTAGTAACCCCTGACTGTTCTTCCTACGCTGAGATTCCCATTTCTCTTGAGGTGAAACCACCCATGAGATGTCTTCTCCTCCACCATCATCTTAGATCCAAGATATATGTTCTTGTCTAATCCAGGTAGCTGTCTCTTCAGTGACTTGATCACCTCCTTTCTTTTTTAGTTTTTTGTTTTTATTTTGAACAGACAATCTGAATTTGGTGGGGTTTTCCTAGGTCAGTGGTGGAAAAGGATTGACTTCAGCTAGGATTCATGGCAGCTGAGGGAAATTCTTGCCCAACAAAACCCAAAATCCAAACTTAACACTAAAAAATAAGTTCTAGTCTTTGGATTCAATGAGTGGGAAATACGTTGTGCCTTTCCCTAGGTGTGATGTGTTGCACCAAAACCTTAGTAGTGCACAGAGGGTGGTTTGAGACTACAAGTCTAGAGCTTACAGAAGTGTGCATTTTGGGGTGGCTGACTCATCCATGGTGTTCCCACTTAGCATTTTGATTAGAATGAACTTGCCAATCAAAAAAAAAAGATAGGACAATCAAGTTGAGAAAATAGACCTAAGTATTTTAAAATAAAACCATTGGCATTTTACTTTAACTTGGTACCTTGGTTTGTCACAACTGAATGAAGCAAAAAAGTTTGAATCATTATCTCCCATTGTTTTTTATGTCTGCCTCTAAACCAGTGGTTTTCAAACTTTAGCAGGCATTAGAATCACCTCAAGGGCTTGCTAAAAACACTAGTTGCTGGGCCTCAACCTAGAGCAGTGATGGCGAACCTATGACACGCGTGTCAGAGGTGACACGCGAACTCATTTTTTTGGTTTATTTTTCTTTGTTAAATGGCATTTAAATATATAAAATAAATATCAAAAATATAAATCTTTGTTTTACTATGGTTGCAAATATCAAAAAATTTCTATATGTGACACGGCACCAGAGTTAAGTTAGGGTTTTTCAAAATGCTGACACGCCGAGCTCAAAAGGTTCGCCATCACTGACCTAGAGCCAAAACTTGGCATTTCTAACAAGTTCCCAGGTGATGCTCCTACGGATGGTCAGGGGACCATACTTTGAGAATCTCTGCTTTAAACCTGGTGGGGTGAGCATGGTTATTTGAATTACTGACTGGCAGGTGGTATGTCTGGGCTTCACTCCTGTACTAAATGCTGCTGGTCGATACTTAATCATTCCACAAACATTTATTCAGCTCTGTGTGTATGTGTGCCCAAGCACACATGCAGGAAGGGCTGTAGCCAGAGCAACTTTATCAGCATTATGAAATCACTAGTCCTTATTTGTAAAGATCTTGGAAATAGCTTGAAGGTTGAGAAAGACTTTTGATCTGCAATGCAAATTAGCCAGTCATAGGCCAGAAGGACAAAAGTCTAGCCCAAAAATCTAGTCTTTGGAAAGGCTTAGGGTGTGGTCTGCTGATGGCCAGATAGTCCTTAGCCCCCAGCATCCATGCCACACCAGGCAGATCCTCATCCTCTACATGACCATCTGTGTTACTTTTGGGGGCTTAGATTACAGGAGGCCAAAATCTCTTCTCATCAAGAATCACATTGGCTTTTTAGTTGTTAGTCTATGCTGCCGCTTTGTTCCTAGTCCAAACTACCTCTATAAAGTGACTCTTCAATGCTGGTCTGTTAAATCCTGCCCTCCTTGGTGCTAGACTCCACTTGTGCCTCAGAGCAGAAGAGAGGACACAGCTATCTAGGTGGCCTATGTTGTGGTTGTAAAGTTTGTACTTTCTCTGTGGGTACAGTTAAATAGTGGAGTGAGGAATGTGTAGTTCCATGGGTTTGAACGAAGAGAGGGTTATGAGCCTACTGGATCGAGATTAAAACCTAAGAACCAACGCTTTGTGCTTTTCTCTCATTCCAACCCTTGTAGTGCTGATACTTAGCATGAGCAGAGTGAATGACTGGTACTGACAGAGTCCAACATTAAGGTATATGTAGCCTGTTATTGTCTCAGAAGCCAAGGAATAACAAAACTTTGAAAAATAAAATAATATTTTGTAGTGACCCTGGTGCTCTCTAGAAATCTTGGCACGAGCTGCTATAAAATAACCTTTTAGGAACAGGACCTTATAATTAAGGTAAAAAAAAAAAATCAAGGCCAGTTAAGACAAAGTGCTATGAATTTGAAACTGGGCTAGGTCTTCAGATAGTCAAGATAGAGTCTCCTGAAAAACCTGAATTCCAGCAATTCTTAGACTAGGTTGCCAAAGCAAGAAGCTAATGAAGGAGAAAAATAATAATAAAGTTTAAATTCATTCTTTCTTGAGCTCTTGATTGTGATAATATAATAATCTTGTTGACTTTCATTTCTATATCCCTGTTCATTTGAAATTTTAGTGCCTGACTTCTTTGTTCCTTTTGGATCCAAATTACTCTTTTCCTCCTTCCCTGTTCAAATCTTTTAGAAGCCTTTATCCCTATTTCTTTGGCACCTATTTTGCTCTCCATTTCCTTTTTCTGTCTTTCATAACTAGAAGTTAACATCTTTTATCCCATATATCTAATTTATCAAATCTCCCTTGCCTTCCTGATGTAGAACATTGCCTATGCAATAGATATAGATACCAACCAGGAGTTGTAAAACTTGGTAGAGACCTTAAGCACGTTTTGAGGAGCAGTTGTCCACTGGGATTTCTATAAAGTTGGGTAAAGGGCTATCTGGTGCCATCTGCAATTATAGAATCTTAGTTGCGCTCTCCAGTCTATGCTGGAGGAACACTCAGCTCCTCAATGCCCACAAACTTCCTCTGTGTCCATCAGGGAAGTAGAGATTAAGGTTTCCTCACTACTTCTATGGTAGGATAGTCTGGAATTCCCGTTCAGGCTGTGGGGCACTGGTCTTGAGTTCTAGCCATAAAGGGTTAGGAGCTGGAAGGGGAGGGAGCAGGAGGTACACTTTCATGTCATTTAATTTTGATCCTGCCCTTCCCAGCTGCTTCTTTCAGAAGATATATCTAAAGATACAAAGTCTGCATTTGATGTAATGCCTTAATTACTGGGTCCACAGTTAATGTTGACTGTTTTAGATTGTAAGCTCCTGGAGAGCAGTATTGCTACAGTAGGAATGTTTTAACAGTGTCGTGTACAAAAGAAGAAAATAAATATTTTGATTTTGTGATCCTATGCATGTTCTTTTACCCAAAGTGATATCAGAATACGTGGTGTCTTATTGTGCACACAGTGTCTTGGCCATTACCATCAGTTTTTAAGATGTCAGTTTTAGGTGGCATGGTCCCTGTTTTCATATCATTCTCCTCCTCCTCTACTCAAAATGACAAGCTAGTCCATGATGCAGCTACATGGACTTTTGTACAGATGAGCTTCCTGAAGCTGCAAATATCTCAGTATACCAAGAATTCCCAAATTTAAAAGCTAACTTGTCCTATCAGAAATCTCCTCCCTATATTTATGGTGTCAGGCAAGAGGCTCTGAGTTGGGCCTCTAAGGAACTTCACTGCTGAGCCTTGAGGTGAGCATTGGCCGTGCCTAACCCTTTGGTAATGCGAGAATCCTGGTGTTATTTGCCCTTCCTACTGGACCCCAGATGGCCACTTTGCCATTCAGCACCACTTCCAGTCTTTTCCATAGTACAATATGATGAGCATGGACTTTGTGGAGTTAAGTGTACCTGGGTTTGGGTCCTGGCTCCACCACTTTCTAGAAATGTGACCTTCAGCAAGTTATTTTAATAATCCCTAAGCCTTAGTTTTCTGTTATAAAAAGGCAGTAATAGTATTTGTTTGAATTAGGAGCGATATGTATAAAGTCCCTTATAGGCATCCAAGCCATAGTAAGTATATATACTTACTATGTCTATTTCCTGTCAACTCCCATCCCAATATAATCTCCATAAGAGCAGGGGTTTTCTTTTTTTCTACTTTGTTCACTGCTCTATCACTAATTTCTAGAAAATGCCTGGCACCTTGGAGGAGCTCAGCCAATATTTTTGTCATATGAGCTTGGAATTGAACTAGATAGAATGAATACACTGCTCAATAATTTACAGTATCTTCTGTAAGGAACTCACAAAACTAAAAAGATAAAAGAGTAATAATAGCAACAATGATAGTTATTTATCCAGCACTTGTTATGGACCAGTCATGGAGCTAAGCTCATTTCACTGTTTCATTCCATTTCCACAGTAGTCCTTTTAGATATATATTATCTCCATCATATTGATAAGACAAAGGCTCACAAATTTAAATCATTGGCTCCAGATAATACAGCAAGAAAGTGACTGTGCTAGAATTTCAGCTCAAGACGCTTTTCACTCCACAATCCATGATTTTTAATCTTTTAGAGAATTTTCCCAAACATATACAAAAATAGAAAAAAATCATGTTATGAATCCCTCTGCACCCACCACTCAGCTTCAATCAACAATGATAAATCCACGGCCAACTTGGTTCTTAGAGCCCCTTGCTATATGATCAAATAAGTGGAATAGAAAATTTACTCATGAGCAGAAAAGCAGAACTCTACACACAAGAGTAGTTTGGAAAGCCCTCATGAGATCTGCTTTGGTTAAACTCTCCTTTCCCTCCTCCCCACCAGCTGACCACCCAGGCTTCATGTGAAACCCCAGGGGATGGAATACTCAATGCCTGTTCTGTTACTATGCTCAGGAAGTGTGAGGCCTGATTCAAAGGAAAACTGCATGAGAAGAATCAATTTACTAAGTGTATGTGCTTTAATTACAGAAAAGGAAAAGTTTCCACTAAGCCTCCAAGGAATTTGGGGGGTCCAGAGGAACAAGTTCAGAATGGAAGATCAAATTTACACATAATCACTAAAATCTAATCTCCACAAGGGTAGGGATCTTTGTTGATTTTGTTCACTGATGTTACTAAGTGCCTAGAATGGTACCTGGCACATAGTGGGCACTCAATAAATACTTGCTGAATAAGTGAGTTAAATGAAAGTCAGTTATAAGGATGAAATGGAAGTGTTCTGTGCGCAGGGTCTTTTCATAAAGATGGGAAGAATGACGTCACCTCTGTAGCAATTACCTTTTAAAGTCTGGGTGTTAATTGTACTATTATACTTCATTAAGGATGTCTCATACTTTTCCAAAAATATATTTATTTTTAAAATTGAAAATCAGACAAGTTTTATAGAGTCAAATTCTCCAGAGACAAACCAGAGTTTGGATTTCAGTAATCTCATGCAGAAGTATTTCCCTCTGCAGGAGGTAAAATATTCTGCTTGACTACAAGCACTCAATTCCCTGAACTGCGTTTGTACTTCTGCCATCATTTTACACCATTCCAGGGCTCGGGAAGCAAGAAAATCCACCTCTAAAATTCAAAACTTCCAAATTGAGATGAGCGATTGTTGGGCTTGGCTTGGGGTTTATAACCAATTCGATCATTAATCATCTGTTCCCGGTTCTTGGGGTCACTGCTGAGCCCTATGGCACCTTCTCCATCACTGCCTCCTACAACATCCACATCTTCCTTTTGTTTCTTACGGGTCTGAAAGTATAAAAGTTTTAGGATTAAGGCAACATTCTTTCCATTAGCAAATACTTATTTAGCACCCACCATGTACTCGGCATAGGGTAAAGGAGAGAATTAGGGTCTATAGAACAATAAACTGAAATCCTGGGTTTGGATGGTTAGGAATATAAGGCATATAGCAGTCCCCCCTTACCTGTGGTTTTGCTTTCAGAGGTTTCAGTTACCCATTATCGACCAAGGTCCAAAAATATTAAATGGGAAATTCCAGAAATTAGGAATTCTTAAGTTTTAAACTGCATGCCGATCTGGAACATGAATTCTCCCTTTGTCCAGCATCTCCAGCCTGTATATGCTACCCACCTCTTAGTCACTTAGAAGCAGCCTCAATTATCAGAATGACTGTTAGAGCATCTCTGTACATGTGTTCAGGTCACCATGATAGTGGTCTAATGCTATGTCACATTGCCTGTCATTCACCTCACTTCATTTCATCACATAGTCATTGAATCATCTCACATTATCATTGTTAAGAACAATAAGCTATTTTGAGAGAGACTACATTCACATAATTTTTACTATAGTATGTTGTTAATCTCTAAATGTGCCTAATTTATAAATTAAACTTTATCATTAGTATGTATGTATTGGAAAAGACATAGTATACATAGGGTTCAGTACTATCCCGCTTCAGGCATCGGGGAGCGGGGGGAGGGGGGAGTCTTGGAACATATTCCCCTGCAAATAAGCGAGGACTACCACATGATGATAAAAGATATAACCCATACCCAGGAGGTCACACTCTAAGGAAACAGGTAGACAATTACAACATAGGGTGATCTAAGCTATCACAGAGGAAAGCCACACTGCCAAAGACACAAAGAAGAGGTGAGGTGTGAGGAGTGAAGGTTCAGAGCAGGAAGCTGCAATTAGAAAGATGAGCAAGAGTTGACAGAAAAGGGGGAGAGAGAGATGTTTCAGTAAGTGTATTATTCAAGACTAGAGCCCCCCCCCCAAAAAAAAATAAAATAAGAAAAAAGATTAGAGGCCCAGTGCACAAAATTTGTGCATGGGTAGGATCCCTAGCGGCTGCCGACTGCCAGCCAGGGCCTCCCTTCCCTAGCTGCCAGGCGGGTCCTTCCTTCGTTCCTCGCCGGCCCCTGGTGGTCAGCACATGTCATAGCGAGCGATCGAACTCCGGGTCAGTGGAACTCTTGGTTGGTTGAACTCCCAAGGGGACACTTTGCATATTAGGCTAGATTAGATAGATAGATAGATAGATAGATAGATAGATAGATAGACAGACAGACAGACAGATAGATAATAAATGGAAAAATAAAGTGACTGGTAAAACAATAACCACCAGAAATTAAGAGCTTGACTGACATCATGAGATTAAATGTAACACAGGAATAGGTTTTGTGCTGTCTTATCAAAAGGCTTGGGGTTTCATTTTGTTTTCAGAGAAAAGGTTTAGCTCTTATATCATAAGTGACTGCAGAATTCACAAAATCTATGTCTCAGTTTGACCATTTTAAAAGAGATCCCGCCGAAACCGGTTTGGCTTGGTGGATAGAGCGTCGGCCTGCGGACTGAAAGGTCCCAGATTCGATTCCGGTCAAGGGCATGTACCTGGGTTGCGGGCACATCCCCAGTAGGAGATGTGCAGGAGGCAGCTGATTGTTGTTTCTCTCTCATCGATGTTTCTAACTCTCTATCTCTCTCCCTTCCTCTCTGTAAAAAAATCAATAAAATATATAAAAAAATAATAATAATAAAAATAAATAAAATAAAATAAAATAAAAGACATCCCATTACTACCACTATGTAATTAAAGATAACAGATGATGATGACTTTCTTTGAGAATGAACATGTTTTATCTAGACTTCCTTATTAGAATTGCTCGACTACTCTAATCACTGGAATTACTTCCATACCTCACCACTTACTGATGAACATTTAAATAATCAAATAAGGTACTATATATATGTACACACACACACACACAGAGGGTGGGGCAAAAGTAGGTTTACAGTTGTATGTGTATTCTTATATTATAAATTATTGTTTTATTTTCCGTATGAACAACTGTAAACCTACTTTTGCCCCACCCTGTATATATAGATAAATATGATTTCTCTGAGTTACTCTCTAGTCTGCCCTACCAATAAGAAGCATTAGAAAGTTCTCCCCAAATAACTTTTTGACCACAGTTCTAAAAGGCAAAGAATGTTATCATTTTATAAGCCATGAGAAACTCTGAGACTATCCAAATGGAATGAAATAATTTAAAGGGCTTTCCATCGTGAACAACTGCTGACTGTTTCGAATCCAGAGTCATCAAATGTAATCAAACTGATTTCAACAAGAAATGAAATACCAATTTCCTTCTGCCTTCATTTCAGTTAAGGGCAAAACTATCCTTCCCACCTAAGTTGCTCTAGAACAGGTAAAACCCTCTGGATACTGCCTTTAGTAAAAAGACTAACTCAATAGTGAGCTGACTTTGCAGAGTCAAAGTTCAGTATGCTAGCATTTTATGGCTTAGAAAAACTAAAGTCTCTGGGATGAGGAAGAGGGAAAAGAAATCCAAGTTACAGGCTGGGAGATGAGTCCCCTGTGATACAGATCAAAGAAGGGCAAAGTCAGAGGACGTATCTGAGAACAGGCCATAGATCAGCATAACTATCATACCACTAGAGGCCTGGTGCACGAAATTCGTGCACTCTGGGAGGGGTGGGGGGGGTTTCCTCAGCCTGGCCTGTGCCCTCTCGCAGTCCAGGATCCTTCGGGGGATGTCCAACTGATGGCTTAGGCTCGCTCCCTGTGAGGAGTGGGCCTAAGCTGGCAGTTGGACATTCTTAGCGCTGCTGCGGAAGCGTGAGAGGCTCCTGCCACTGCCGCTGCGCTCACCAGCCATGAGCCCAGATTCTGGCTGAACAGCGCTTCCCCTGTGGGAGCACACTGACCACCAGGGGGCAGCTCCTGCATTGAGCGTCTGCCCCCTGGTGGTCAGTGCACATCATAGCAACTGGTCGTTCCGCCGTTTGGTTGATTTGCATATTAGCCTTTTATTATATAGGATTCTCTCCCCTAACACCATTACCAATAATTCCTTAATGTAATCTAATACCCGGAAATAAAATTTTAAGTGTTAAAAAAAAGAAGCATATACAATAGGTAGTAAAGCCACCATGTTCATGGACATGTATAAAATATGTCCTCTGCCATATAGTACAAAATATCTACTAGAATAACAAATGAAAATACACTTATATTGAGCGCCTCTTTGGGCCTGGTATTGCAGGGGACAGATGCAAAGAAGAATATACTCATTCCTGCCTTCAAGGAGCATATGGCCTAGTGGAGGGAAACAGAAAAACAGATAATTATGACAGTGATAGTACCTAAGAAAGAGGTCAGCAAAGGAGGAAGAGGTTGAACCTAACCCTGCTGGGGTAGGTAGTCAAGAAAGACTTCTGGAAGGAGCTGAGTCAAAGGATGAGTAAAAGCCCAGCTGGCATGGCTCAGTGGTTGCATGTTGACTTACGAACCAGGAGGGTACTGTTCAATTCCTGGTCAGGACACATGCCTGGGTTGCAGGCTCGATCCCCAGTAGGGGGCGCCCAGGAGGCAGCCGATCGATGATTCTCTCTCATTATTGAAGTTTCTATCTCTCTCCCTCTCTGAAATAAATAAAAATATATATATATTTTAAAAAAAGTAAAGATGTTTTTTAAAAAATGAGTTAGCTCTGCAAAGAAAGGCAAAGGGCACTTCAGAGTGTGCATAGGCACTAAGAGTAAAGTTAAAGATAACTCAGCAGTGAAAGATAAAGTGGAGAGATGAGCAAGGGCATTGTATGCCATCCTAAGGAATCTGGACTTTATTCTGAAGGACACTGAAGAATTTAAGTCTTATTAATGCACATCTAATACTGTGGGGTAAGGCTACACTTAAAAATACATACTGAGCCCAGCTGGTATGGGTTCAATTCCCAGTTAGGGCACATGCCCAAGGTTGCCAGCTTGATCCCCAGTAGTGGACATGCAGGAGACAGGCTATATACAATGAGTTTCTCTCTCATTGATGTTTCTCTCTCATCGATATTTCTCTCTCTCTATCCCACTCCCTTCTTCCCTCTCTAAAAAATAAAAACATTTTTTAAAAATACATATTGAGCTCCAACTATGTACTAGATCCTGGGAACTCAATAGTGAGAAAGATAGACATGATTTCTACAATCAAGGTTGCTAATGTAAATGGTTTTACAAAAAACAAATCATTGTGAATTATAATAAATGCTACAAAAGCAAAGAATAAAGTGCTTTGAGAGACCCTAATGAGATGGAGCTAGCATGGCTAGGAACAACACACCTAAGTTGGACAAGGTGAGAAGAGGCCTCACAGGCTGAGGAAGTGACATTTAAACAGAGACATGAAGAAGGGATGCACTGGGGCAGAGGGAAATAACATGTGCAAAGGCCATACTGATAAATAGTTTTGCATGTTCAAGGAAATGTAAGAAAGCCAGTGTGACTGGGGTACAGAGGGCAAAGGAACAAGTGGCAGGAAGTGAAACCTGAGAGAGGCTAGAACATATAACATCTTATAGGCCATAAAGAATTGAGATTTTATTTTCAGTGTAGCAAACTATTGAAGAGTTTTAAGCAGGGGAATGACATGATCTTAACATTTTTAAAAATCATTCTAGCTACCTGATGGAGAATGGATTAAAGAAACAAAAAATAGAAGTAGAAAACCCACTTAGGATGCTACTGAAATTGTACAGAGAGATGGTTACTTGGAGTAGGGTTGTAACAGTGGAGATAAAAAGATATAGGTAGGTTCTAGAAATATTCTGGAGGTAGAATCAAAGGGTTTACAGACAAATTGTATATAAAGGATGGGGAAAAGGAAGAACTCCAGAGTGACTCCTAGGGTTCTGGCTTGAGCAAATGCATAAGTACTGAGATGCGGAACACTGAAGAGAAACTAGCTTGAGAAAGACATCAAGAGTTTTTTTTGTTTTTTTTAACATGTTAAGTAAAATGAGCTAATGAACCCTAAAGCTATCAGGTCCTACCCCCAGGAATCTATAAATGTTGTCTTACATGGAAAAAGGATCTCTGTCGGTATCATTAAATTAAGGATCCTGAGATGAGGGCATTATCCTGGATTATCTGAGTAGGCCCTAAATGCTATCACAAGTATCCTTATAAGAGGGCAAAGGAAGATTTCACAGACAGAAGAGGAGAAGGCAGTGTGATCACAGAATCAGAGATTTGAATGATGCAGCCACAAGTCAAGCAATGCCAGGGACACCAGAAGCTAGAAGAGTCAGGAACAGACTCTCCCCTAGAGCCTCTGGAGGGAGCACGGTCCTGCTGAAACACTGATTTTGGTGGAGACGGATTTCAGATTTCTGGCCTATAGAACTATGACCAAGTAAATTTCTGTTGTCTTAAAGCACCAAGTTTGTGGTAATTTGTTTCAGCGGCCACAGGAAACTATTACATGGAATTGGAGGTGCCTGTAAAAGCATACAAATAAGCTGTTGATATGAGAGTCTGGAGTTAGAGTTATTGTTTCAAATAGTCCTAAGGGTTTGAAAGTTGCACTCTTACCTCCAAGTCCTTCCGAATGCTTTCAAACTCTTCAATGTCGTCAAGCTTCAGCTCTAGGCGGGTTGGTTTTCGTCGCAACATACTGAAGTCAACACTAAGGGCCAGACCCACTTAAATATTAGCTGTTAAAAATGGCAGAAAAGAGGAAAAACTGGAGGGGATAAATCTCAGCTGCGAATATAAGATCAATTTGTAAGCATGCACACTAAACTGAATGGCAATGCAAAAAACTCATTTGGATTCACACATACACGTCTAAGTCTCTAGGTGTCTGAACATACGTTTTTCTGTTTATTTTTTTAAATCTTTATTGTTGAAAGTATCACGTCTCCTTTCTCCCCCCATTGATTCCTTCTAGCCCACCCCCACCTCCCACCCCAGGCCTTCATCACCCTATTGGCTGTGTCCATGGGTTATGCATATTTGCATAGAAGTTCTTTGGTTGATCTCTTTCTACCCACCCCAGCCTTCTTAGATTCAACAGTCTGTTCTATGCTTTTATGTCTCTGGATCTATTTTATTCATCAGTTTATTTTGTTCATTAGATTCCACATAGGAGTGAGATCAGTGACACTTGTCTTTCTCTGACTGGCTTATTTCGCTTAGTACAATACTCTCCAGGTCCCTCCATGCTGTCTCAACACACGTTTTTATTATAAGATGGAGATTCACAACTCTAATTCCAAAACACTCTTCAGGAACTTAAAATAGCAAGCTGCCTATATAAGAATTCTAGGCAACAGTCATTTTAATCTCACGCTCCAGTTACATTCAAAGCATTTTCTAGCTAACAGAATAACGTTCAAATATCACATCTTAATTCAGCAGTGTTAGTAGGAAAATACACAAGTCATTAAATTTGATCAACTCTACATGAGAATTGTGAGAGGTCTGTGATCACTCCTGAATACTAAAATCAGTTTACTAAATCTCCCTCTAACTCACCAATTCACAGGGTTATCCTCAGGGTCTAAATAGATAGGTCATTCATTAAACAAACACTTCCAGCTGCAGGTAAAAGGCACAGTCACAGTCTGTGGAGAAAACAAACACGTAAACAGAAAACTGCATAGTGTACTAAGAATGTTGACGAGGATAATGCAATGGCATCACATAGGCCCAATCCACTCTGGGTTAAGTGTAGGGTTGACAGTGACATGGAGGACTTTTTGGAGGAGATGATGTCTTAGTTAACTTGTGAAGGGCAGGCAAAGAACGAGGATTAAGGGCATGCTAGGCAGAGAGAACAAGGACCCAAAGGGGCTCAAGAGAACACTCGTCTGAAAACCCCAGGTAGTGCTTATGCTAACAAAAAACATTTTTGGGAGAAAAAAATAAAACTCCCCACTGAGTTTAAAATCTATTGATGGCATCACCTTTATATTTTCCACAGCATCCAATAGGGTGTATCTATAATAATCAGGCAGTAATGTTTAGTTGAATAAACCAGAGATCCAAATAAAGTGAAATGAGTTTTCCTTGAGCATTGTGCTATGCTTTTCCATTCTCATTCCTTATATTTTTAATTTAACACAAAATCCCTGTGATGCTGGCAAAATTATCCCTATTTTACAGATGAAGTCAACGCTGTTAGTTTGGTAAGCCTCCCATAAAAATTACACAGAGGTTATATTGTGAGGATTAAATGAGAATGAGTACATGAAAGCTCCTTTATTTATAAATTGTTATTGCATGTATCTAGGATGTAGCTAATGGCTGTGAAGTACACAAAGAAAAAATGTTTCCTTCTCCCTCATGAAAATTGGGGTACAGGTGATAATCTATAATAATAAAAGCGTAAAATGCAAATTGACCAAACGACCGAAGTTACATGGTGAGGATTAAATGAGAATGAGTACATGAAAGCTCCTTTATTTATAAATTGTTATTGCATGTATCTAGGATGTAGCTAATGGCTGTGAAGTACACAAAGAAAAAATGTTTCCTTCTCCCTCATGAAAATTGGGGTACAGGTGATAATCTATAATAATAAAAGCGTAAAATGCAAATTGACCAAACGACCGAACAGCAGAATGACTGTCCCAGCGATCAAGCTATGACACGCACTGGTGACGGGCCAGTCAAGGGGAGTGCGATGCGATTGGTCGGAGGCCCGCCATCGCCCCATGATCACCCCGCAGAGGGTGGTGGCGGATGCGGGCAGCGCCATGCCAAGGCAGGTGCGGGCAGGGGGGCGGGGGCCCAGCTGCCAGGAGTTGAAGGGAAGCCCAGGTGCCAGCAGCAGAGGGAAGGAAGGCCTACCCTTGCACGTACTTCATGCATCGGGCCTCTAGTATCAACATAAAATACGAGCACGTCGCATTTCAAATTGCTTTGTACTAAGTGTGATATTATCTTGATTCCAATGTAGATAAATGATAGAGGGAGCCAAAGCTCTGGGGAGAAATGCTTAAAAGGAAAACATTGGCCCCATCAGCGTGGCTCAGAGGTTGAGGTCTCGGTTTGATTCCGTCAGGGCACATGCCAGGGTTGCTGGCTCAATCCCCAGTGTGGGGCGTGCAGGAGGCAGCTGATCAATGATTCCCTCTCATCATTGATGTTTCTATCTATCTCTCTCTCCTTCTCCCTTCCTCCCTGAAATCAATAAAAATATGTTTTTAAAAAAAATAAAAACATTTCTTTGCACTCTTCTGCAAATTGAAAAGCTTGCCACTAGGGAGCAGTATAGAGCACTGGATAAAAGTAAGAGAAAAGGGCAGGGTGTTCTAATACCATCCACTGCTTATCTTGAACAATTAGCTTCATCTTTCACTAGATCTTAATTTCCATATCGGCACTCTTGTTATTGTATGGACTGAGTGACGGAACGCAGACTACGTTCCTGGAATATAACTTGCCATTCAGTAAACTTTCAATAAGAGTGTTTTATAGCCCTGGCTGGTTTGGCTCGTGGATAGAGCGTCAGACTGTGGACTGGAGGGTCCCGGGTTCGATTCCGGTCTGGGGCACATGCCCGGGTTACGGGCTCATTCCCCAGTTGGGGTCGTGCAGGAGGCAGCCGATCAATGAGTCTCTCTCATCATTGATGTTTCTATCTCTCTCTCCCTCTCCCTTCCTCTCTGAAATCAATACAAATATATTTTTTTAAAAAGAGTGTTTTACAGTTTACAGCCATTATTACAGTAACTGTCCTCGTGGAGAGGGGCGGGAAACACCTAACATTTTGAGCATCTGCACCCTCGACAAGAGGCTTGACTTTTTCAACTCTGATGCCCCAGCACCCAGCCGGACACAGGGCCATGCGGAGTTGTTTGCATGTACCTGACGCCTCCCATCCATCATCTCACTCTGAGCCTGAGAACAAAGACCGGGCTGAAGACAACGAAAGCAGGCCGCGGCTCCTCCGCCGGGTTTGTATGTTACTTTGGCGCTAGAGGGCTCCGGAGCTTAATCTCTAGCCGCTGCCCGAATTCACCAGCTCAAAGGAAGCCCCCGGGAGAGAACTTCCAGACACCAAGAAAGGGTCGCCGGCGGCAGGTCCAGGGCAACACTCACCGGTCCGGCGCAAGGGTTTCCATGGCAACCTGGTCCCCGGATCCAGGACAACGGAAAGCCGCTGGCAGAGCCGAGAGGAACGGCCCCCGGAAGCCCTCGATCCGCTCCGGAGTCCAGCCCGAAGCCGTGCGACTCGACGCACCTACCTCCTCTCAAGCCTGCTCTGCCCCTTCCCGGAGCCTCGGCGCCCACCAACGCTTCCGCTCAGCCGACTGCGCTCCACGCCCCAGCCCGCCCTGAGCCAGAGCCTCTCCTCGCAGAACCTCGGCCTCCGCGCACGTTTCTCGGAGGCCCCACGGGTCGGGTCACCCCTCGCGACGCGCCCACAAGCCTTCCTTCCTTCCCACTACGATTCCCAGCGTGCTCCACGCCGGCCCGGACGCTGCGTCGCTCTCGACCCACTTCCGGTCGGTGACGCAGTTCCGCTCGGCTGGGCGCGCGGTGGATTGTCTGGGAAGCAGAGTCCGACTGTGGCTGGGGTTTCGCGGCTCCTGAGCCTGGCATGGCTTCCACACGAGCTTCCTCCACGGTACAGATCTCCGCTCACCCTGGCAGGGGGCACCGCGGAGCTTGGGGGTCCCTGCGGAACGGGGCCTCGAGGGGTCGGGCTCAGTCCGTGGAGGGCCGGGGAGGAAGGCTGCGAGCCTGGGTCTGGGCTCAGCGGGCTCCGTCTTCCTGACGCCTGAGCGCTTTCATGTGCTGGAGCTCATGTGCACCCCTTGTGCAGCCGCGAACGGTCAATGCGTCTTCCGACGGGTCCAGAAACGGAGCTCTGAAAGGGAGCAGCGCCCTGGCCAAGGCTTACGTCATTGTCAGACTTGTTCATTGTAATGAGGCCTCCTCACGTCATAGGATCATTCCCCCTTCACGTCGGGGTGGTTATTTCATTCACCCCTTCTACTTCCCCTGTGATGAGCAAGAACCCTGGAAGCTCCATAAAACCCGAGAAGGGATTGCACTCCAGCCAGAGGAGTTAAACATGCTCCAAAGCAAACCTTGGATAGGAAAAGCGCCAAGAGAAATTAAGTAGTTTTATCAGCCTCTTCCTGCCTGAGATACTGAACGGCCCCTCCTCCCGCCCCATCAGTGAAGACACCTTTTTTTTTTTCTTACCCAAGGACATTTTTTCACATTCATTTTTAGAAAGAGTGTACGGGAGGGCGGGAGAGAGAGAGAGAAACATCGATGTGAGAGAGACACATCTGGTTGCCTCCCGCACGCGCCTGACTAGGGCCAGAATCTAACCTGCAACCCAGGAAAGAGCCTGGACCTGGGATCGAACCCCAGACCCTTTGGCAGGCGAACGTCTACTGAAGTGCCCTCCGTGTTCTTTCCTTTAGGGAGGGAATGCAGCTGAAACTCAAGATGAGCTTTGTTCTTTAGGGAAGCCTAATAAATGGCTGAGATTAAGCCGTAAATTAATCCAGGTCTTTGATTTAGCAGGCAACCAAAACCAAGGCACCTGATGACTTAGTTGCGCCTGTTGTGAAGAAACCACACATCTACTATGGAAGTTTGGAAGAGAAGGAGAGGGAGCGTCTGGCCAAAGGAGAATCTGGGATTTTGGGAAAAGAAGGACTTAAAGCAGGAATTGAAGCAGGAAATATTAACATAACCTCTGGTAAGATGCAAATTGTGAGTCCCTCTTTGTCTTTGGTGCTCAAATTTTCTGCGATGAATGCCTTCCTAAACTTAGGTATCACTAGTTTTTTAGTGTCAACATTTTTCTGTTTTTAAATTGATATCTGTAAATGGTCATACTTTGCCTACTCAGCTTAGCATCATCCAGAGAGCCTCTTGTTTAAAACCTGTTGAACAGTTTTTCTCGCATGAATTGTTAGGAATTTTACCAGGAGTTATTCAGCGTGTACAGCTGACCCATAAACAACATATTTTTAACTGTGTGGGTCCACTTATATGTAGATTTTTAAATAAATACTAATGTATTTTTCTTATGGTTTTCTTAATATTTCCTTCTCTAACCTTTATTGTAAAAATACAGTATATAATGCATATAACATACAAAGTATGTGCTAATTGACTGTTTATGTTGTGGGTAAGGCTTTCAGTCAACAATAGGCTATTAGTAGTTAAGTTTTGGGGGAAGCTATTCTGGAGCTCAAGCACAGCTCTGGCATTGGTTTGGAATTACTGTGGTTCACAGTAATCTCCTGTTTATAGTTTTCCATTTATTTTTCTCCCAAAATGAAATTTTAAAACATGTTTTTATTGATTTTAGAGAGACGAAGGGAGAGGTGGGGAGAGAAACATTGATCGGCTGATTTCTGCATGCACCCTGACTAGGAATCGAACTGGGGACCTTCTGGTGCACAGGATGATGCTCAATCAACTGAGCCACACCAGCCAGGGCAAAATATTTTTTAAATTATAAAAATAATGCTCTGGTCATTATTTGCTCAGTTGGTTCGAACGTCCCGTCCCGTACACCAGAAGGCTGTGAGTTCGTTTCATGGTTGGCAAATATGGGATGTTTTTTCCTCACATCAAATCAATAAAAAAAAATATCCTCGAATGAGGATGAAAACAAGTGTGTGTATGGACACACACACACACACACACACACATATAATTTTGAAAAAAAAATGTGGAAATATGTGAAGTAGAAAAATCTTTAATCCTTATTAATTGGATCTATATCTTTCCAAGAATTCAAACCTATAAAAATATAGAATTTTTTTCCCCATAAATGAAGCCATGATATACAAATTGTTTTATAACCTGTATTTTTCACTCTTGAGGATACCTTTCTATGTCAGTAACTGGTGGCCCATTATATTTTAAAAATTAACTTGTGATGTTTGTAATATATTCAAACAGTATAAAATAAAAAGACTTCTCTGCAGAAAGAACTTCTGTCAAGTTTCTCATTGATCCTCCCATGTGTTTTTTTTCTATACACATGTACTTTAGGGACTTTTTTAGCCTTTTATGCTGATTTAAACATAACTGCTTCACCACTATGCTTACCATTTTTTATCCAAATGCTTGTATTTGGTGTGAGTTTTTAAACTAGCTGCTAGTTTATTCAGATAGCTTTGCAGTCAAGGAATATCATTTTCATGGTAATTATTTCCAATTTACTTTCATTTGTAAGTGTCTCCATACTGAGACTGTTTTAGAGAGTAGCTTTGGCAAGTGTTAAAATAATGTTTCTATTATGTCTTTTGGATAGGAGTCCTAGTTAACTCATTTGCTAAAGATGCTCCATACTCTTTACTTTATCTCATCTAAGCTATGTGTTTATATAGGTACTAGAGGCCCAGTGCATGAAATTCGTGCACTTGGGGGGGGGGCCGGTCCCTCAGCCTGGCCTGTGCCCTTTCACAGTCCGGGAGCCCTCGGGGGATGTCTGACTGACGGCTTAGGCCCACTCCCTGCCTATGTGTATAATAGATGCCCTTAACTTGAACTAAGGGCATACACAAACTCCAAATGTAAGAAATGTTTTCATTTTCCCTATTTGAAGAAAATCTGATGATTATGCTGATGTTGCCTGTTCTTTTTACAGGGGAAGTGTTTGAAATTGAAGAGCACATAAGTGAGCGACAGGCCGAAGTGTTAGCCGAGTTTGAGAGAAGGAAGCGAGCCCGGCAAATCAATGTTTCCACAGATGACTCAGAGGTCAAGGCTTGCCTTCGAGCCTTGGGGGAGCCTATCACACTTTTTGGAGAGGGTCCTGCTGAAAGAAGAGAAAGGTGCCCTTTCTAAATACTCTTGTCTTTTAATCACAGCGTTCTAGTTCCAAATTTCAGTTGTTATTTATAGCAAAAATTTTAATAGAATGTCTCAGATGTTCTTAACAGAGTATCTTAAGTTGTGTTTAGATAGTTTAACCCATAACCTGAGTCTAAGGCCAATTTTTACTCCGCTACTAATTTTTCTTTATAAACTGTGAAGAAGGTGTTAACATGCTCCCTTTTCCTCTCCTCTCCCCAATGTGGAATTTTGAGTTGGATAAACATTTGTAGTAAAACTTGGAAAATTTAGACAACAAATGCATTCCTTGTCAGTGACATAAAACAGCAATTTTCAATTCATCTCACAGCGCACATAAACTAATTACTAAAATTTTGTGGCACATTAAAAGTATTTTTTGCTAGTCTGACAAAGGAAAAATAGGTATAATTTTGATTGATTCATATCAGATGGTTATTGTGTTGGCTATTGTAATTTTTTTATTTGACAGTCTAAGGGAAAAGAGGTCAGAAAACACGTACATAATTACATATTGTTTACAGTAGCAAAATTACAGTTATGAAGTAGCAATGAAAATAATTTTATGCTTGGGGGTCACCACAACATGAGGAACTGTATTAAAGAGTCGCAGCATTAGGAAGGTTGAGAACCCCTGCCTTAGGGTATTTTGAAGATTGAAGGAAATCACACTGGAAGTTTAGGCATGACCTCATGGATCTCAAAGCAGGTTGCTTGGAATTTGAATGGTGAGAGAATAGGGGAAGCTTGCTCCCTTCTTAGATGTACTTTTTCAAATTTTTATCTCATTTCTGTTTAAATTTCATTCTTTTTTGTTACAGGTTAAGAAATATCCTCTCAGTGGTCGGTACTGATGCTTTAAAAAAAACTAAAAAAGATGATGAGAAATCTAAGAAGTCCAAAGAAGAGGTAAAATATGTCTTTACCTTCGTAATGTAAACATGAAGGAGATGAGGGGATAGTTTTCTCATTTTATGTTTTCAGTGGTTTGCTTTGCTAGGATTGGGGGTAGGAGGGTTGAAGACTCTACCATTCAGGAATCGTTGTTGGGCTTAATATATGGTTTCTGTGTAGATATAAATGGAGATTAGTGAGTTTCCCATTCAGGAAAGAATATAGCATTCCTGGTGTAACTTTTAACAGGGAACCAGAAGCCATCTAACAAGACCTCACAGAAAGAAACAGTAGAAAGCACATGCCTGATTTCATCCTATTACTGAACTAATTCACCTTTATTCTGGCAGTTAAAATAGGGAATTGACAGCTACAAGTGGGGGCAGGAATGCTCAGACTTAATATTTCTTTTCTTAATTTAACTTCCAGTATCAGCAAACCTGGTACCATGAAGGACCAAACACCCTGAAGGTTGCTAGACTATGGATTGCTAATTATTCTCTGCCCAGGTGAGGAGAGCCTCTAGGAGAAAGAAGCATATTCTTGTTTCTTCTCAGGGACGGAGGACCTGCTTTATAATGACTGGTTGTTAAATGAAATTGAGTGTCAGATATTTGTGTAAACCCCTCATCTAAAACCCATCTACTCTCATAATGGTAATGTGTGCATATCATAGGGCAATGAAACGCTTGGAAGAGGCCCGTCTCC